CAACTAATTAATTATTCTCTCAACTTTAAAAAAAAAAAAACATATTTCGTTGAAATGGAGTGGGCCAAATCATATTTAAATACAAGGGGCTTAGGGAGGCCGGTACCTCCCAAGGAATTTAATAGGATAAAAGTATAATTTTTAAAATAATTGGGATTGAAGTATCCCTACCATAAATAGTGCATACCTAATTGATAGTTTTTATATTTTTAATATCGAAATATTAGAATGTGAAACTTTCAATATTCATTTTAATATTTATGTATCATTTAAATTTTGAAATTATATATACACACACACACACGCGCGTATAGATATATATATGTATATATATAATAATATTAAACGGTAACACACTCAACAAAAAAATAATAACATCAAACAATAACATTTATATATACATACACACACACAGATATAATAATAATAATAATAATAATAATAATAATAATAATAATAATATTATTATTATTATTAAACAGTAACACGCTCAACAAAAAAATAGTAATATCAAACAGTAATATCAAATATTAAATTTTTAATTAAGTTTTTTATTGAGTATGTTATTATTTGATGTTACTGAGTAAGTTTGGTGTGTGTGTGTCTATATATATATATATATATATATCACTATTTATGATAGGGGTAATTATGAAATACATTTTAAAAAGAATTTGAAAATGTTTTAAAATATGTACTTATTGACAACTATTTGATAAAAAATAGAACTTAAATGAGGATAAGTTTGAAAGTGATACTTAAAGTCAAATAAATTCTGAAAATAGTACTCACACCCATTATCTCTAAATACAAACATAGAAGCTATAGTAAATGGTATGGTGTAAGTTTACGCTTGGGATTGAATGAAAAGTACAAGGTAAGGACATATATGATCAAAAAGAACTTTGACTATGGCTCTTTATATATTGTATTCACTTACTATTTATATATTGATTCTTGAAATATAACAATTTTTTTTTAATTTGTATCAACATATCACCATTAAAATGAATAGTCGGTTATTACAACAACAGACAAAATATAATAATATATGAAAAATAATCTAGATACATCAATGTAGAAACATCCACCAAGTAGAGAAGGAAAAATCCGAAAGAGTGACACAGAAGAATCTTCAAATCGGGAGACATAAGAAATCTATACTTGCGTTTGACATTAATTGACCTACTGACTTTCTAGTTGGGAGCTTTTTGAGACAATAAAAGTTGTCCAATTAGATTTTGTCAGTGGTTAAATATGAAACAAATTTGATAGGTCCAAATCTAATGTATTTATAAAATTACTCTAGAATTCCAGGTAGACATCATAAAAAGTATCATGACTTCCCAAAAGTTAATGGCTAGATAACTTAAAAAATGACTAGATATTTGAAGGGTTACCTTTTTAAGCACATCAAAATTCAAAAAATACTTTGGAAGCACATTACTTACAGCAAAATGGAAAACTTTCAATGACACCCCACTGTAGATTAATGTAATTTTAGGGATACTCGTAACTTTTGAGATATTACCATAGTCTCTCATAATTTGTATGTCCATTTTTCAATGTACCGTCATAGTAAAACTTAAAATATAAACGATTACATCAATTGTAATCCTGACCTAGTTAAAAAACCTAGTCAACTTGGTGTCTTCAAGGTTGTAAGAGATTTAATGGGTTTAGACTCTTCTCTGTCATCCTAATCTTATTATTAGTTAAGAAAATCCGTATGTTGGGACTAGAATAGGATTCGTATCATCCTTAAACTCTTGTTTTATATATACACTACATCAAACAAATTGTTTGGCTAGGATAATTTTTTATATATACACTACATCAAACAAATTATATATATGTAATTAATTTTTGAATTATAGAGAAATTATGAAATTGCCCTTGCATGGCAACCATACCAAGCTACTGGCTAGCAGCAGTAGGTTTTTCCCAACTCTTCTCCAAACCTCCAGAAGCTTTTAGGAAGGTCTTGAGTCTTCACCCCTCACCTGGAGAGGATAGAATCAGTTGTGTGTGTGTGGGGGGGGGGGGGGGGGNGGGGGGGGGGGGGGGGGGGGGGGGGGGGGGGGGGGGGGGGGGGGGGGGGGGGGGGGGGGGGGGGGGGGGGGGGGGGGGGGGGGGGGGGGGGGGGGGGGGGGGGGGGGGGGGGGGGGGGGGGGGGGGGGGGGGGGGGGGGGGGGGGGGGGGGGGGGGGGGGGGGGGGGGGGGGGGGGGGGGGGGGGGGGGGGGGGGGGGGGGGGGGGGGGGGGGGGGGGGGGGGGGGGGGGGGGGGGGGGGGGGGGGGGGGGGGGGGGGGGGGGGGGGGGGGGGGGGGGGGGGGGGGGGGGGGGGGGGGGGGGGGGGGGGGGGGGGGGGGGGGGGGGGGGGGGGGGGGGGGGGGGGGGGGGGGGGGGGGGGGGGGGGGGGGGGGGGGGGGGGGGGGGGGGGGGGGGGGGGGGGGGGGGGGGGGGGGGGGGGGGGGGGGGGGGGGGGGGGGGGGGGGGGGGGGGGGGGGGGGGGGGGGGGGGGGGGGGGGGGGGGGGGGGGGGGGGGGGGGGGGGGGGGGGGGGGGGGGGGGGGGGGGGGGGGGGGGGGGGGGGGGGGGGGGGGGGGGGGGGGGGGGGGGGGGGGGGGGGGGGGGGGGGGGGGGGGGGGGGGGGGGGGGGGGGGGGGGGGGGGGGGGGGGGGGGGGGGGGGGGGGGGGGGGGGGGGGGGGGGGGGGGGGGGGGGGGGGGGGGGGGGGGGGGGGGGGGGGGGGGGGGGGGGGGGGGGGGGGGGGGGGGGGGGGAGAGATAAGAGATAAGTGTGGATAGAGAAAGTTCACATTGGTGTTATTAGAATTTGATTTGGTTAAGTGGTTATCCTTGAATTTTAGTTTTACAGTTTTTGACTTTTAATGTTTTTGAAACGGTTTCGAAGATTGTGGGAGCTTTGGCCTAATCTAATTCTTGAGGCTGGTAACTTGAAGCTTGGTGGTGGTTTGGAGGGCCGTCGTGGTCGGTGGTGGCGGTTTGAAGTTTGAAACTGAGGTAGGGTTTCAAGGATTTTGGAAAATCAAACATTGTTAAATTTTATGTTTTGATGTTGAAGGGATATGGTCCTAAACTAAAATGGACCCAAGGAGCCCATTTCCACAGTTAGTTTTGTGTTTAGAGGTTGTTAAGGGGGTTAAAACCTGAATTTCAGGTCTGGCCAGGTTTAGAAAACCTTATTTTTTGCCAGCTTTGGTTCAATATTTGGATAAGTTAGAGGTTAATTCGAGGTGTCTCACCTGTTGGGTTTCACAGAGAGGTGTGAGATGAGTTAATGGGTTTTGAAAATAGAGAAAAAATGTGTACTGTAGAGCGAGAAATAGAGGTGATAAGTAGGGTACCTACAACACAGAAAGTGGGGAACCAAGGCTTTCTTGAGGAAGAAGATGAAGTGGACCCAGAGGACCATTGGACACCCCAATGGCGAATGAGGGTGAGTACATGTATGAAATTTCATTGAAAAATAACATCGTTTTATTTTTGGCTATTTCAGATCAAAATATCGAGGCTGATAGTGTTTCTCAATTCCAAAAACGACGATACTTTTCAAACTTTTTTCTAAATTATTCCATAGGTTATTTATGATGCTTTAACAAGTTTGAAATATATGATTGGCTGTTTTGAATATTTATCTGGATCCGGACCCGGATTAGGGTTTTTGAATGTAGTTCGCACTAATGTTTGAAATGAATTTATTGATCGTATTACTTGCACAAATTTGAACTCCAGGATCCTTTTGAATGAAGTGTAAGTGTGCAATGGTCGAGTGGGAGAGGGTTTACGTTCCAGGTTGAGGTCGTAGAGGGTTTTTCATTGAATTCGTAGATGTCGGGATGGCCTTGTTGGTCTTAAGATTGGGTATCAAATTGCATCGTATTGACTTGGGAGCGTATTTTCCTTGGGGTGCAAGTCCCCTAAATTATTGGATCGCATGTTTGTATTGACCCTGAGTGGTTAATTTTTTATTTTTTTTTAAGTTAAACCCATTTAGGACAAATTTTATTAATAACAAAATTATAAAGAGAGGAGAGGACATAAACATTTCCCCTTACATAATAAAATAACTTTAAATACAAAATAAAGTCTTAACAATAATTGCAAACGCTGCATTTTATAATCAACGAAGAGTCCAGAGGATATGAGCCAGCAGAAAATTAGAGGAACAGTAAGTCCTCATAAAAAATTAATAATATCTAAATCCATAGGATTTCTTTGGCTTTGGCAACTTGAACGTTCTTGATCTAGTCATAATTATAGGTTTAACTTTATCAAATGCCAAAGCCAAAGCAGAAAACTCCTCCTCTTTTCTCTTCTTCTGCATCTCAACCTTATTGCATATTGACAGTAAACTTTTAGAAGATCCCATAAAAGAATTGAAATCATTTTCTTGAACTACTGGTGCCTCCTCCCCATCAGAGTACCCTTGATTACTCATGAAGAGATGACCTCTTAACGTAGTCATCCTTTGAATAAACTTCTCTTAGCTTCAAGGCCTTTTGAATCTCCTCCTTTGACATGCTTGGAATTATCTCTCCTTGACTATGAATATTTTTATGGACTGCTGCCATCATTTCCGGAGTAATGGACTTTGATTTCTCCCTTGCCTCCACTGTTAAGGATTCAATATCTTGCTTATAGTGACCATAATCCAACAAGGATGAGGACTCGTCTATCCCATCATCCGAGACATCTTCAGAAGAAATAGAAAATCCTTTGTCATCCTCCTCATCATTTAAATTATTCGGTTGAGAAATATGCAACATATGATTTACTACTAATGGTTCTTCAACTCCCGAAGAAATTCGTAGTCCTTGTCCTTCATCCAACTCCCTTAACTGTTGATTAGTGAGATTGATTGCCTTTGCCATACTCTCCAGGTTCTCATGAACTTTGCACTGCATTTCTTGGGTTTGGAAATATGGTTTGGGCCTAAATAATTTGAAACCTCGTTGGGCTCTGTATCATAGCTCACCTCTAGAACCTCATGTGGACTGGAACCCAATATCTTCTCAATAACTTTCTGCTACTTTCCTTTGGCAGGAAATCTTCTCCATTATGGTCTACGTTATCTTTGCCTGAATGCTCTCCCTTGTCTGGCATATCTTCTTTTCCGACTTCCAAAGGTCTTCCCTCATTAATTTTGGTGTTACAGCTACCATTTTTGGTAGTAAAATCTTTCAATTCTCCTCCCTTATTCTGTTGAATCCATACCCCTTTATTCTTGGCAGTTAAATTAGGTTGCCTCAAATTATCCTTATCCTTTCTAAACCCAGACCCTCTTTCCTTAGTTTGCATTGTGGGGTTTCCAGCCTGCTCACTTTGCTTCCTTTTCCCTTTATCATTAGTTACCTTTTCTGTTTGTGTATCAGTCCTCAAAGGATTTTTTCCTTTATCGTCAACTTCCAAATCGGTAACCTTTCTTCTTCGGCAGTCGTCTTCCCCATGGACCTTCTTCCTGCAAGACTTGTAGTATTTCTTACTCTTTTCATAAATAATCTTCTGCCATCTTGCCCCTTCATCTCTCATGTCCAACCAAATCCTGGATGGATTATTTGATAGTAGATTAACCTCCACACAAACTCTAGCAACCCCTGGTCTGGCCAAAGATAACTTCGTCTGATCATAGGCCAACACTTTGCCGATAGGCTTCATTAATAATTCCAAAAACTGCTTCTTGAAAAAATTAAGTGATAAACCTGGTAGAGACACCCACATAGGAACTACAGAAGGTTCAACCCCTGGAAAAAAAGGTGTAAACCATTTAAAGAATCTAAAAAAATAGTCTTCGATCAATGTAGCATCTTTTAACCAAACCTTGACATAATCCTCCTAAAGCTGAAATCTTATGAGAACATGCCCTTGGTTAATAATACCAACTTCAAACCCTCTCTTCAAACTCCATTTAGATCGAATAACCTCCTTGATAACTCCTAGAGAGGGCCTACCATAAACACACTTACCAATGAGAGCATATTGCAAGGACAAACTTGAGGCCTGAATCTCTTCCTTGGTAAAGTAAAAAGTGGGTTCCCCTTCATAGAAAACTACTGGCTTGTCAATCTTTGGCTCTATATCCACATGTTCATGATAAGAAGGTTGCTTGAAAGGTGAAGCGTAGGATTGTTGGTTCTTTGAATGCCCATCAAGTAAGCTGGATGATATTGGTTCATGTTGTTTTTGGTGACTAGATGGTAGTATAGGTTGTGATTCTAATGGTTTTGGTTGATAATCTTGTGTTTTGGGATTAGGATCTGGATTTGGTTAAGAATAGATGAAGAACTCATTAAAGAAGAAAATCCTAGAGAGAATTCAGAGCTTATCTTTCTAGAATCATTGTAATTTTTCAAGAGAGAGAAAAGAATCGAGAAATCAGAGATGGATTTTTGTAGTATGCACTTGTCACTGCTCGGTACCTACCCTGAGTGGTCAATTAGGATTATTGCTCATCGGTGTGACATTGTACTTGATGATTTTGAACTCTCTTTTACTATAAATTTTTGCTTAAATGCTATTGTTTTACATGAAATGACGTTTTTCTTATATATGTATCAATGTTCACTTTGTTTTTGCCCAATCATGCTAAGCTATGTATTTTCAAACTCGTTTGTTTGAAAATTGAGCTACTTTACTAAGTTGTTGATGCTCACCCTACAATATTTGCCCCTTTTCAGATTAGTAGGTGACGGGGAAGTTTATAATTGCATGAACTTCCAATTGTTCCTTGATTATTATCGAAAATTTGAACATGTGTTATGTTATAAACATAGAGTTGTATGACTATTTGTAATAAGTGGTCATAACTGAATTGTGCATTACGTTTGAGGCATGTAAATTATAATAAGCTGGATGTACATGTTTGAAATGTATATGAAATTGGTATTAGAGTTCACTAGAACCATGCAAAAAACTAGTCCACTTAAGCACCAAAGGGTGTGGCTCAAGTGGGGTCTGATAATGACTCAATTTATGTTTTTAAAACACATTTCAGGTTTAGAAATTTTTTTCATTGAAAAACATCTAGGAGCATATTTGGATCATTTACCTATTCCATTGTAACACTAGTTATTTTAAGTCTAATTATACCAAGGGATAATCTTAGGTTTTTAAGCGCATTTACCATTGCCCTAAGCAAGAAGGCGCATACAGAGGCTTTCTTTAATATAGATTGAAGAATAAACTCCCCCCTTTTTTTTGTTGCTTTCAAATCTTCATCATTGTAGGTTCATGACCATTGTCTAGTTTGGGATTTATAAGGACTTCATGAAATTAGACTAGTACAAAACATGATCTAACAATCTCTCCCTTAGGCAATTTTGTGACAAAATACACACGTAAGAAATTAATATTATAACCCGTAAATTACAAGAACAAAAATGAATTGTAAATAAATTTCAACACTAGTGCATAAGTCCCTAATGTCTAAGTACAAGAGCCATCTTTAGATGTCTTTTTGAAAATCATAGTCCTGCATACAACCACTAAACCAATACCTTGTGAAAAACATAATATGCATAAAACACATAACATAATCACAAGGATGAAAATCACCAAGTTAAGCAAAAGGCATATTCATGTTAACATTATGCAAATGCGAATTTGTATCATATGTAAGAACTACCTCCTCAAATTTGCTTGCGAACCTTTAGATATAGCATGACAATGCACAACCAGTTCTCTCCCTTAGTTGATGTTCAAAAGTAAAATAACAAGTGTAAAATGAACAAACAAAATAGGTGACTTCATGCCAAGTTTGTGAATGTACTTCCCTTAAGTATGTCAACAAACTCCCCTACTCTAATCACGTGCAACTAATCCAAGCTAGTTAAAATAAAATCTCGCCGAAGTCTACCATATGTACTTATAAAATTCTCTCCCTTTTTGTCACAAAATGCCAAACCAATGACATATCATAATAAGTATGGTACAAAATCTAGTCATCCCAAAATATTCTTTCCCATTTGTCACAAAGTGTCAATCCATTGATATAGCATAACAAACATAACAAAGAATCATGGTATAATAAGTGGGCATCAATATAAATCAACTAGAAATAATAGACATAAGGATAAAGCAACTGAAAAACAAAGCATATAACTCCAAGTCTCTAATGATAAAAACATCAAAACAAATGACAAGAAGTGTGTCACCGCAAATAAAATCAAAACAAAACAAAAAAAAAGCACTTAAACAAGGACAATGAACAAATAGAAAAAGATCTCAAGCTCCCATAATGTCCAAGATCTTGGTCTTGAAATCAACAACTCCTATAGCTATATCATCTCCACCATTACTATAACGGGGAACCTTAACCAATTATTCCTAGCCTTTGTCTAAGACTTCTAGTAAAATAGGTGATGGATAGGGTTTTGAAGGAGTTTGGCTCATATTAGAAGGAAGAGGCACTAAAAAATGAAGTCTAAATTCCTATCACCAGTTTTTTAGGGAGACTGCTTGAATCAAGTCTTAGGTCACTCGAGCGGTCCATGAAGGTTGTCTGTCCAATTCACGAATGGACTGTTACAACTCATCTTCTACTCCTCCTATCAACTCAATAAGCCTCCAAATCATGCATGTATGGATTTACAATATAAAATGTAACTAAATGCATCTGTATGGATGAAATTAGGAACTAAAATGTATGAAAAATTTAACTTTAAAATACACCAAGCTATTAATAAAGAAAAACCTATATGTTAAAAATATAGCAGCTCCATCTAAATTTCATCTTCTCATTACATTACTCTAAGACATATTAAAGAATATTGAACTCAATTTCATGCATCCTAGAGCAATCTCCATTCACTGAGGTTGATTTCACTCACACGTGTTCAAAATTTGTTGATCTTGATCAATTCCTGTGTAACACATGTAAAACTAAACTTTGACACCATTAGGATTCCATATAGATCAAATCATTAATAAAGCTATATGTAAAATCCTAATGCATCATCTAAGTGACTACATAGCCTATTAGTGAGTGTCCTATTCAATTTTTTTTTGACAACTCCCCTATCTTTTATCCCTTCTATTGATTGTGACCTCAACAAGTGGGGTCTAATAATTACTCAATCTATGTTTACAAAACACATTTAAGGTTTAGAAAATATTTCATTGAAAAAAACCTAGGAGTCATGTTAAGATCATTTACCTATTCCATTGTAACACTAATCATCCTAAGTCTAATGAATTAAACCAAGGGATCATCTTAGGTCTTTGATGTAGCTTGAAGAACAAACTCCTCCCTATTTTTGTTGCTTTCAGATCTTCATTGTTGTAGCTTCATGACCATGGAATGAGTTGAGATCTATAAGTGCTTCACAAAATTATCCAATTACAAATCATAATCTAATAACATCGACTCACTTGATTGCCACAACAAGTCTCGCTTTGTCTTGAAATTAACCCTAAAAGTCAAACACCAAAGAACAATTCAATACTAAGATAGCGAGAGAGATAACAAATATAGATTGAGGGAGTTGAGGACCTTGAGAGGGAATAGCACCGCCATGGGAGATAGCTTTAAGATTCTCAGATTAGAGGTTTGAGGAGGTTTTACGAAAGAGAAGATGGATTGGGACTTGTTGGGAGAGACTGGTCGAGGGTTTCAGGCAATTTCGTTTAGGGATGTCTTTCCTTCCTAAAAAAATAAGTTCATCGATGAATCTCTAATTTGATCCCAAAACAATATAATTTATTTTGAATTTTTTCCCTACAAAACAATTTCTTCAGTGAATCTCTTGATTTTTTCAATTCATTTTATAAGCTGAAATTAGTTTTTTGCCAAAAATTAAAAAAAATATAAAATCAAATTTTATTATCAACTATGATTTTTTTTTTGGCAGGTAAAACAAAAATTATGGGAAATGTTTTGGTTCATTTTGGTACTTGGAATGTGTGCAATTATTTCTCTATTTTGGACTCATCATCTTGAAAGATTCTTAATTTTTTGTGTGTGGACTCTGGTATCTCTCTTTTCTACATAAGCCAAGTTTGTTCGATTGGACTATGCTCATGAAGTGGTGACCCGTGTATAACTTTTCTTGTCAACATTGATATCAGATCTATATTTCTTGCTTTCTGTTATAGGTAACATGCATGATGATTATAAGTGCTATAACTCTGATACCCCAATCCATTTAACATAATATATATTCAGAGTGCTAATAGCCTTCATACGTACTAAATTATAAAGTCTCCAAATAATGAGTAAATTCTTATATCAATTCCATAAACATAACAAGTGTTTGCTATTAAGATAAACTTACTATACACAGCTATGGTACGACTAAGTCGTAGACTTGTCACATCTCACACATATACATCAAGCTTAATACAATTTACGTGCCTCAGAAACGCTATTCCACTCTTAGAATAAGAACCCTAAAAACTAGCAACTCAAAACTTTCACGAATTTCTCCGTCACCTGCTAATCTAATAATGGGGAAATAATGTAAGGAGAGCATCAACAACTCAGTAGAGTAATTCAATTTTCAAGCAAATAAGTTTGAAAATAGCATAGTTTAGCATGATTGGGCAAAAGCGAAATGAGCATTTGATACGTATATAAGAGAAACAAAGTCATTTCATGTAAAACAGTAGCATTTAAACAAAATAGTACGGTAAAAGAGAGTTTAGAATCATCAAGT